ATATATATATATATATATATATATATATATATATATATATATAAAAAATTTTTTTTTTTTTTTTTTTGGGGGATGGGCTTAAAAGGTACATTAGGTACTCACTAACCCATGCCAGTCTTTTGACATATTCTGACAAATGAAACAGGAAAATATAATAAATATATGACACTTCAAATAAGAGATTATATTTTCATTTTAACTAAAATGTTGCTTAAATGCAGCAGTATATAATAAAAACCTCTGAAAGAGACGTTTACCCGTGATGGCAGAGATACATTTTCTCATTCCAGGTGCACTTTAGTTTGAATAACTACAGCGTCACACCCACAGCAGTAAGACATTAGATTACATTGACCAATAAGGATTCACGTATGAACAAGAACAGATGAGACAACCTGTCGCCATTGTTCTCTGCAGTGTGCAGTGAATGTCCCTACTCATCCAGGCTTTGGTCACACTGCAGGTGAACACAATTCTTTTCATAACAGTGTGAATAGCACAAATCTCATGGAATCTCACAAAGGGAACACACTAACATGAAGCAAAGTGAAAGGACACTGCAACTCTAGCACAGGGGGGTGTGTGCTCTCCCTGTTCACCTCCTCTTCCTCCCTCTCCCAGTAAAGGTCAACAGTAAAGTGAGCCTGACTCAAAGGTCAACCACTGACTTGATTTACTTCCTGACTAAGTTCCAGTCCTGTAGATCCCTACAGAGGCTAGTTCACCATCTGCTGTTGAACATATAGTATTGTATCATTGGGTATTATGATTGAGTTAATAATCTTAATAAATCTGTTTTCCTTTTTCATTAAATTTTTTGTAAAGTTTGCCAAAAAACAGCATTTTTCAAATTTGCCAATACAGCAAATGACATAAAGAATGGTGTAATCTTAATGATGTATGTTTAATGCAGATGCAACATGAAAATGTAAGTTTTATTTAGTTTTTAGTAAAGGGTATAAATTTAATGTTACCGTTGTCTTCTTCATTAAAGTTATAACTACCGGCTGCTCAATCTAGCGATCAATGTTAACATCTTCTCTGCACGGGTCCTCTGTGGCTCATCCTCACCGGTGCTGCCAACGATGTTCCAGCATTCTTCATCTTTATTTGAATAATGACTCAATGTTGGTGATTGTGATTCAGTTTGTTTGGCTCTTTCTTTGCAGCTGCTAACAGCGTGTGGATCAAAGAACATCCAGAGTGTGGCTACAACCTGGTGAACTCTCCTCACCTGCGGCCAGCCTGGGTCTTAGACAGAGCCATCTGCCATTTAACCACCAGAGTAGCAGAGGGACGTTACAAGGCTAAGGGGCTTCCTGCTGATATTACCAATGAGAGCCATCTGAATGTGAGTAAACCCAGTTCAGCTGTGCACACTACGACAAGAGTGGACATGGCCGGCATGTCATGGCTGTGTTGTAGCGAGGATACACATGTGACATGATGTGTGAGTCACAAGATAGCACGAATCAGTCTGAACATTGAGATGTAACAAAGAACAAACAACACTCCGTTTAGCTGTTCAACTTTTGACGAAATGTATCATGTTCTTTATTTACTGCTTTACTGTGTGTGAAAGCGTAGACATTAAACATGTAGAATGTGTTTTCTCTGTGCTGTTTGAACACTAGATAGCTGCCATAGTAACTCCCTGTTCACACCTCCATTAACATGTGTCTGAGTAAGTCTATTCACGCATGGCATTACAATGTGTCTCCACACGAGTCTCACGTGACCACTTGTGATCAGATCTCACTTCCCCAAATAAATATATGCAAATAAACCCGTTCGTCATTTCCGTTTGCAACGAGCAAATACGTTGTTGTTTTTAAGCAGTTTGTGTTTTGAATTATTAAATTGACTTACTTCTGTCTGGCAAATGAAGCAATTAACTAGCTATAGACTGAGGAAAAATCCTTTTAATGCACTGTTCCTCTCAAAGTCTGCTGCCAGCTACTGGCTACTTTAAGCTGGAATGTTTTCTTGCATGTTATTCAACGCATGAGTTGTCTTCTTGAATCAATCAGCACACCTTAAATGTCAATATGACAACCGCTCCATTTGGTTTTTATTTACTCTCGCACTTAAAAGATGCATATATGAATCACACATACACACACACACCAATCAGATGAGTAAGCCCAGGACACATACGCGTAGACTCGGCTAAAAGAATGTGACCGTCCCCGACTGTGGTCTGAGAGATCAGATCTCAATGCGTCTTGGGTGCATTCACACCTGTACTTTGAGCTGTACACTTGTGATGGGATCATGCATGTCAGTGCCAGGTCTGAACAGGGACCAAGTCTGACTCCCCACATCCTCAGAGAAAACTCACAAGTTCAATTCAGCTCTTGTTGCTGACTGTTGAGGTGCGTTGGGTTTGAACGCACCTAGTACTGTAAGCTCTCAGTCAGGTTCCACACTACCTGATGCTGATGTAGGTGCATTAAACATGGGAATGACATAGTTGAATCAATGACACAGCTGCTATAGCTTTTTACTTACTGTATGATTGGAACTGTGAGAACCCTTGCTAATGTTAAATGTGCATTTTATTCAACAGCATTTTGCAGCCCATGAAATCTATAGTAAGAGGCTCATTTAATAATCCAGATCATCTGTGTGTCTGCGTCTCTCTCTCTGTCTGTCTGTCTGTCTGTCTGTCTGTCTGTCTGTCTCTCCCACTTCTCTCTCTCTCTCTGTCTGTCTATCCCTGTCTCTCTGTCTGTCTCTCCCTCCCTCTCTCGCTCTCGCTCTCTCCCTCTGTCTCTCCCTCTGTCTCTCCCTCTGTCTCTCTCTCTGTCTCGCTCTCGCTCTCTCGCTCTCTTGCTCTCTCTCTCTCCCTCGCTCTCTCTCTCCCTCGCTCTCTCTCTCCCTCGCTCTCTCTCTGTCTGTCTCTCCCTCGCTCTCTCTCTCTCTGTCTGTC